GCGCCCGGCCCGAGCTCCGTCGGGATGCTGTGGCTCTCTGCTCTCTGTGCCCTCAGGCTGTTCAGCCCCTGCGCAGGGAGGTGTTGCCCTCGCTGGGCAGGGTGTGCCCCCCATCCCCGCAGCCGCTTGAATAGCGCTCGAGTATTGCCAATCTAATTTGGGTTGCGTAGTGTTATTAGGCTTCATCGTGGTGACACAGGTTGCCCAGGGAGGTAGTAGAAGCCCCAACCCTGGCAGTGTTCACAGCCAGGTTGGATGAAGCCTTGAGCGACCTGCTCTGGTGGGAGGTGTCCCTGCCCAGGGCAGGGGGTCGGGGCTGGGTGATCGTGTAGTCAGGTGAGGGTTGGTCTCTTCTCCCAGGCAACCAGCAGCAGGACAAGAGGGCACAGACTCAAGCTCTGCCAGGGGAGGTTTAGGTTGAATATTAGGAAGAGATTTTTTACAGAGAGAGTGCTCAGACATCGGAATGTGCTGCCCAGGGAGGTGGTGGATTCCCCATCCCTGGAGGTTTTCAAGCTGAGACTGGATGTGACACTTAGTGCCATGGTCTAATAACGATGGTAGGGTTGGTCTCAATGATCTTTGAGGTCTCTTCCAACCAGGTTGATTCTATGATCTGTGAAGTCCATCCCAACCCCTAAAATTCTATGATTCTATGCTAATTCAACTGAGAACTTAAATGGGAAAAAATACCTTCAGAATACAGAGATGTGGAGAAGCACCAAGGCATGCACTAAGCTATTAAAAACATAACGTACCTGGCGTGTGTAGTAAATTTGCAGGTGTAACCTGGAAGCAAGGAGCAGGAAGAATAGGGGTTTTATTTGCAAAAAAGCATACAGAAGCTGGCTGGGTTTTTTTCTGTTTATCACACATGCCTTGTGGTAATGCTCCTGTAAGAATGTATACTGTTGGTGCACAAATAAAGTGCTGTTCAATGGATTCAACAAAAAAAAAGAATCCAGTAGTAGAATACTCTGTTTCTGAAGCACAAAAGGTTTAGACTGCTAGTTTTCATAGGACAAGAATGATGAAATTACTAATGCAACTAGGTTATAATAAATAATCAGGGTAAAATCAAATGTAAGCACACCAGTTCAAAAGTTCTTTCTGATTTTTGTTTGTTTTAGACTGCAAATGATATGTATACACCAATCCCTGTGATAAAAGCACTGTTGTTTTCCCCCTGTGCATTTGTGGAGGAGGGTTGTTAGAGTGGAAAGAGCAAAAGTCAGATTTGCCACTTGCTTAATATGTCTTGGGAGCAACACTTAATAACAAGATCTGATTGATTGCATCACTTTCCTTTGTTACAGGGCCTGCGGTTTGAGGTGGTTCCATCCTGGTTTAAGGAGACCCTTGAAAAGTCATCTTTTTCGGCCCCTTATGAGTATGCTGTGGAAACAGCAAGACAGAAAGCTCTTGAAGTAGCAAACAGAATGCATGTAGTAAGTTACTAGCTATTTCAGCAATGAGATTTTGGTCTTCAGGTGCACATTACTGTGTCTTAATCTGCATGCAGTGATCTCTGAGTCCTTTTTCTCCACTAAAGGTGAATGGATGTTTTCCTGTCATTTGTGAAAGCTTCCTGAAACTAACTTGCCTAACCAAAAGTGTCATGCCTACAGTTCAGGCTTTCCACAGACTGAAGTGGCCTTTATGTCTTGTCAGCAGCACACCTGGGATATATACTCATTATTTCCTTCAGACAGTCAGGTTTGAAGTAACCTGACCAATGTGGCTGGACAATTACTCTTTCCAGGTATTTGTGGACTGTGGAGACAGCTCTATGGGAAAACACTGATGTGAATCCAGTGCTTTGCTGCAGCTTTCATTGAATAGTGGCAAGGAGAATAGCTGAGAATTTGTGAGTATAGAGGTACTTCCTGGAGGAAAGCAGGAAAAGGAAGACAAATTCTGTTTTAAAGCATTCTGGATGAAGAAACAGTTTCATTTTAAGAAGGGAGAAGGTGACATTACTTCAGATTCTGTAGTCAAGACATCCATTTTGTATCCTAAATTTTATCAAAGCCAGTGATGCAACTTATACTATCAGTGGTGTATTTGACTTCTGCCCTTGGCTGTGGTCATTGTGTTTAAGCACATAAAACTGTTCTCTACCCAAACCTATTTTGAAGTCTAGATGATTAAATTCCACAAAATGCACCACAATAATTTCTTAATAATACAGCTCTGAAAGAGAGGAGTATGTTTGTTAATCCTTTACTGGTGGCAGAAAACAGTGTTGAACACTCTAAATGAACAGTGTTGCTAGATGTCACCTTTCTTCAAAGCAAATATTGCATGGTCTCCAATGTAAATCGATATCCAGGTTTCTGTCAACTTCTCTTCAGAGAGTGGCCCAACATTAGGAGAGTGGATTTTAAACCCAGCCTCACTAAATGACTTACTTTGGGCTTTCATTGCAAAACACTGTGCTGGTGATAATGCTAGTTCAGTGGATTTCAAAATGCTTCTTCATGCAGGAGTTTGTTTAATGATTCTGGAATTAGTTCTGCTATTTAAAGCACGTCAACATCCTTTCTATAGAAGAATTGCTTCCCTGAAAACATTTTAATATAGTGGTCACAGTTACAGACAGGTTTCCTGTCATGCTACCTTAAATAATAGCTCTGTACCTCATAGCACACAAGTAACTCAAAACTCAGCTAACAGGACAGATACAGTTTAAAGTCAGGAAAAGGCTACAAGGAATTTTTATATGCCCTTATCTCTCATTTCCCAAAGTCAGACTGTATGTGCTCCCTTTTGAGAGGGAGAAGCAAAGTGTGGCTGAAGAAAATGGTTTTTATTATTCAGTAAAACTTGCCTTGGAAAAATGATCCTAGAGGGCTGTATTCCCTGGCTTTCATACACTGGGCACATCCCTTAAAGGAATTGTCTGCCATCTACCTTGAAGACCAGGTTGAATTTTGAGAATGCACTTATTTATTTCCTGAATGCCCTGTTCATCAGTAAATATTTGGGCAAATTTGTGACCTAGGATGGTCTGCTCAAGCCTCACTTTTATGGTGATACAAATGATTAGTTCTTTGTAAACACTGCAAAAGGAGAAAGTGTCTTGTTTCCAGGTCAGCGTAGAGCCCTACTTGTAAACTGATGTTTTCTTAAGTTTTAAAAGGTTGTGTTCTTTCTATCTCTTCTGACAAATGTCTTCTTTCTTTATGCCTTTGCAGAAGCACCTGAGAACACCTGATGTTGTCATAGGAGCAGACACTATTGTGGTAAGTGTTCTGTGGTTTAGCATTGGTTTAATTTATGACAAGCATAGAAAATACTTATACCTTTAGGTTTACAGTTTTAATGCTGCCTTTACTGTGAAGTTCTACCTGCATTATGATGCATCTTTTGGGTTTTGTGGGTGTGGCTTTTAGGTGTTTGGTTTTTTCCCCAGCAAGTTAATTTTTGCTATTTTGAGTACTAGAAGCCTTGCTGCAGGTTTTGTGGACACTAGTACTACAAAAGTATTGCCTTGGATCCTCTAATATGTAGTGGAAGTTCTGTTCTCACAGGGCTGTTGGCTGTCAAGAAGTCCAGATCATGGGAACTGTTCAATGTTGTGACTTGCAGTAGGCATCACTTTATACCTGACATCTCCACAGAGATAGTCAATGGTTAACGACAGAAAAAGTTGAATTACCCTTTTGTTTGAGAGTTGCAGCCACTGGAGGGTAGAGTGTGGCATCCATTATGTGCTTGACACTAAATTACCTGTTCTACCAAAGTATCTGTGCTTCTTGGCCTACTCAGTAAATTCATGTTCAAAGCCCTGGCTGAAATCATGGTTTAAACATCATTTCTGACCTCAGTTTCTGAAAAGTAAGAAAAAGCAGCACATTCACTCTGTCTTTCTGTTTTAGTCTGTGGATGAGCAGATCCTGGAGAAACCAGTTGATAAGCAAGATGCCTATAGGATGCTGTCAAGGTCTGTAGTGTTAAGTAAGATAATAAGTGTATATTAAATTGTTTTCAAAGGAGCTGTACAGATTCTTTGATGTATGTGAGGTACTCCATGGACACAAATTTTTCAATCACTTTTAAACAGTGTAAACCACTTCTGCCACTGAAAAAATTAGACCTGCTTTTATGTTGCCCATGGCTGCTTGCTCTTGCCCCTTCATCTTAGGAACGTGATCGGGGACGCAATGAACCGTTTTGTTTTCATGTGGATTAATTTTCAGAATCACTTGTGACAAGACTGTATGCTTCATCTGGTACAGGATTGGGAGATACAGAGAGGAAACGTGATGGGAAAGAGGATAGAAATATCTTAGAATTGGTTTGAGGCTTGAGATTTAATGGAATAGTCATAAAATCATAGAATGGTCTGGGTTGGAAGGGACCTTAAAGATCCTCTAGTTCCAACAACCCCTGCAATGGGGCAGGGACACCTTTCATGAGACCAGGTTGCTCTATCCAATGTGGCTTTGAAGACTTCCAGGGATGGAGCATCCCGTAACTTCTCTGTAAACCTGTTCCAGTGCCTCAGCACCCTCACAGTAAAGAATTTTTTCCTAATCTAAACCTACACTCAGTTTGCAGCCATTCCCCTTGTCCTGTCACTATGTGCCCTTGTAAAAAGTGCCTCTCCATCTTTCTTGTAGGCTCCCTTCAGATACTGGAAAGCCACAATTCATATTGCATATACAAGAAAGTACATGGTGATATATGTTCAGACAGTTGCTTTAAATTCTATAGTTTAACTGATGAGTAAAAGTCTATTCCATCCATGTTCTCTATGGATGGTGGGCTGGTGTTTTTTTGAGGTT